TAAATTTTAAATACTGTATATAATGCCTAGTTACTATGTATTAAGCCACTTCGCAGTTTGAACTGCGCATGCCTGTACTGAAGGCCAATCAACATAAACATTTAACACATATACTATAGCATCCAATTGTTGGAACAGCCTTTGGAATTGTCTGAATTTTTAGGAAGCTGTATGATGCAAGTACGTAATATACAACCATAGATTCAAACACAGTTAAAATCTTTCCATTATCTCATATAAATGAAAAAAATGAATTTGTGGTACGTTGAGTACTTATATGTAACTCTGTTTAAGTTCAAAATTGAACTGCTATGTACATTTTTTTGTTTATAATCTAGTTTATGTTGTAAGGTCTCAAATTTAAATGTACAGACATACCTTCCCATACAAAATTTAAAACAGGTTCTATTCGAACCATGTCAAGATTCATAGTCTAGAATAATACTGTACCAATGGGCGGCTGTTCTTCCTATAGTTTAGGGACTGATAATGGTGTGAGACTAATGTGTGTTGACACCATTATATCTGATCATTTCCTTCTGCATTAGACCTAATGACAATCAATCGTGTTAAACTGCAAATACGTACTCAAACAGACATATTTGATCTTTGCAAAATGCATTTTTGGCACATTAGATTAACTAAAATGTCATCCACAGGGCCAGAAAATTTGTCAGTAAATCAGTGGAATTTTTTTAGTCATTGTCATTCAATAGAGTTCAATTTCAGAATGTATTTTCTGTCAATGTTTCAACTCCTACTATTGTAATAATTAAACTGCTTTGATTAGAATAGGCCTGATGAATGAATTCTTGAATGATAATGTTTAGTTTAATGAAAATGCTTCATCATATCTGGGGTATTGCAGTTAGTGTACCAACCCAGTGTAAACCCTAAAAACCCAGTGCAAATACTCCATCCAAAACACTCAATTACAGTTTATATCATTGTCAACATCATGTATTTAGTTTACAGTGTTGAACATACAAAGACCAAATTACAGCATCATATTTTCAATCTACAGTAATGTACCGGTATATTCAGGCATGAGCGAACCCACTTGCCTGACGCCCGGGACAAGTGCTTTTTACCGTCGGACAACCAGAATTTCAGGGACCACTTGTCCGTGGACAAGCACTTCTAGAATAGGCTACTTCACCATGTAATGCGTAATGCTTTCACAGTACTTATAAAAAGTCTGACTCTTGACAATGCGCAGCATATTTTAGTAACAAATTGTCGGCACACAAAGAGAGATCAAACAGAAAACCGACTATGCCACGGTTACGCACAGCACAGTGTTCATCAAGTTAGAGTCACCAAAATCCCGCGATTTATTGACAGTTTAAAAGAAAAAATGTAGGCCTACTCAATATAAAATTTGTTATTTTTTGCAGTATACATTGAAAATTAATTTTTAAATCATTAAATGTTAGCCAGATCTATTGTATGTTTACACATTAGACCAACAGCAGACCTACATATTTTCCCACGATATCGTACCTGTAAGCCATCAGCCGCCTGGGCCTGCTGTATGTAGTCTGTTTACAATAGGATGGTTCTCACGAGAGCCCTAGTATCCGGATCGGGAGCTAACCGTTAGCGCTAACCGTTAGCACCTGTGTGAGCGCCCAATCGGTTAGCGCTAAGTTCAAGTTCAAGTTCAGTTTATTCACATAATGCATCATCAGGAATTACCATGAAAAAAAATCGATTATATAATAATTGGAAATCAAATATGTCTGGAGAAAGCCAGATAAGCCCAGGAGGGCTTTAAGCCTGGTTCCACCAGTAAAAAGTTGAAAATTTTAAAAGTTTTGATAATACAGTGAATGCTATACACATACAAAACATACAAGAATAGAGAACATTATATTCTTAACGGGACAAGGACAGTACAGAACACATACACAAAGAAACAAGGGTATTACGGTATTGGATCTTGTAATTAAGCTGACGAGTTTAGGCTACAACTAAAAGAATAATTTTGATTAAGGATATTAAAGAGTGTTTATATTTAGATATACCGTATTGTCTCTAATAAACGCCCCGGGGGCGTTGCATTTTTTCAAAGGGGGGGTGTTTACTAGAGGTGGATTGTAAAATCAAAAATTACCTAAACAAGCTGCTCTAAACGGTCAATGTTCTTTATTTGTAGAGGAACAAGTTAATATGCAGGGCCTCTGCTATTTTGCTGTTCCTTCATTTGTTGCTGGTTATTTGAACATCAATAATTCCTTGTGTTTCAAAAAGAAATGAAATATCTTCGAGTTCTCTTGGGGTAAATGTCCGACGATGCAGCGCAGTGCTTCTCCTTTCATAACAGCAATCGCGTGCTTGTCAAAAACATTGTCGGCCTCATGAACTAGGCCTAGCACCGCACCACCGCATGCAAAACATCTGCCCTCAACTTGAAGAAACATTCTCACTACGGTATAGACTTCATTGACCAGACACCTTGAATCAAATCAGCGTCGAACACGCGACACATTAACAATACACGGTTTGCAGCTTACCCTGTTTTTATAAGGCTAACGAAATACCATGAGAGAAACACAAAATAGGCCTAGGGTAAGCTTTTTTGAGTAGTATTTATTTCATTTCATATCAAAGAAAGCAGCACACAGTACGGTATTACTCCTTGTTTGTCAACCTTTTTATGGACTGGATACCCATGTTAATTGATTGGGCACTCATTGCAAAATGAAAAAAACTCAGAGGGGGCGTTTATTAGAGACAATATAAGGTGTGAATTGTAATTGTATTTAAAATAATTTATGGTATTGTGACTTAAGATGGATGTGTCAAGTGAGTTCCAGAGCAGAGGACCGGTGTGCATTATTGAATTTCGAGTTGAGGTTCTATTGTAGTTTTTTATAACATACTTGTTTGCGTTTCTAGTGTCATAGTTATGTAGTTCGTTATTTTTTGTAAAGTGTCTTTTAAAAGTATTTGGGAGTTTATTGTTTGCGTATCGATATATGAAAATGGCAGATTGCAATTTGTTTATGTCAAAAATGTTTAAGGTGTTAAATTTATAAAAAAAATCTGGATACCGCTAACGGTTAGCAAGCGCTATCGGTTAGCAAGTGAGCGCGTTTCTATCATCAACCAATCACGTGTATGCATTTACAATTTCTAGTTTCTTATTGGCCAGTAATTCGATCATCATATTCTTGGTATACGGATCAGGATTTTCTCATATGGACGCACAGCAGTGCTGCCGTGTGAGAGCATAGCCAATATAAATTCGCACTGGTCTAGTCTATAAATACCAGACATGTCCAAGATTTTGGGCGCACAACCATTAGTTGATAAGTTAAGTTGGACGACATGAAGTGTCTGGACTTCAAGACTAGTAATTACTTTCGAGTACGAATATGAACAGCAGCCATTAGGCCGACTCCAAAACAGGCCCAGCTATTTCGTTTGCGCGTGTGGGAAAGGCAATAATCTAGACAGACTATGAAATGGTAGTTATATTGGGATTTAAAGTTGTTAAAGTAATTAGAAACGATAATAATGTGCATATAAAATCCAAATCTTGTAAAACTGAAGTTAAAAATTTAGGGTTTAGGGCCTATAAATGAATTCATTTTCAAGGCTAAAAAATTTTGCCGTCTAGCAGATTCTCTAGGAGGGATTCGTCCCCTCGGCCCATGCTCAGAGTTATATAGGCCTACTACAGTGCTTGTCTTTCGTTGAGGTAAGAAATTTTTTTTATTTTGCAATAAATGAAATGAGGATGTGTCAGGCTGTAAAATATTCCCCGCAAAAAATATTAGGCCCAGAAATCCGTCGCCACATTTCGAAAATATGTGCCGATTTCCACGGATATTTTGCATTTTTCAAAGGTACAGTACTTGTCCGGGGACAAGTGAAAAAATATGAAATTCTCTCATGCTTGATATTTTTAAGGAATATTCTGTAGCTTTATGGAGTCAAGGCAACAATACTTTAATACTTCAAGCAAATTAACACTTTTACAGATTATAAAATTATAGAATGTTTACTTAAAATATCAAAACTTATAACCACAGTATTAAAACTTACAAAATAAAATGAAATGGTAGCTATGAATTTTTCTTTATACTGTGCTGAATTATTTCTTATTCTGAATAAAGACCTCAACAAGATAATTATCTACAAACGCCATTGTTCTGTGCTCCCCTATTTCTTTTGAAAACAATTTTCAACATATTACTAGGCCATTCAACTCTTAATATTATTAATCAAAGGAGCCAATTGTAGTGGGTTAGTCTTCAAAATGCTATTTCCATGACTGACAATATCTGGAGCAAGTATACGAAATATGATCTTCATTCCCTTTTGTGCCAACCTACACATTCATTAATACATTAATACTCCATCATCGAAGTATCTACCCACATGTACTATGTTCCACCTCATATTTCCTGAGTAGTGTAAGGAACAAAAGAAACAAGATTTCCTTAATTAGAAATTTGTATCCCTCATCATGATGACGAAATGGATGGGCGTGATCGCTGCCGAAGAGATGCACTTTATAGTTACACATTTCAACGGCATCAGGGACTGAAACTAGTGGCCACTTACTCACTGGGTTCACTGGAGTGCATACTGTACCATTCAGATGGGTACAGTACTAACACTGGGCCGCCGCTTCTCTGTCGTTATCGAGATGACTTGGTTTCACCACCAAACCATGGGCAAGGATGGTCTTGAATGAACTGTAGGTTGCGGTACCCCCTGTCTAATTGCTCAACCAATCAACTTGCTCAATGATGAAAATGATAATTTGCAGATAATGGGCTCATGAAGATTTACATATTGGAAAACTTTCAATCAAACTTCAGAGAAGAAACGCCAACTATTTTTGGACCCAACAACTCCATAATTCATGGAATACAGAGCTGAAGCCTATGAGCAACGGCACAAATGCCACTTCTAGAGCCTTTCTTTATATTAATCATACATTGTCATTACCATGTTTCAAGAACACAAAAAAAAAAAAAAAATACCTTGTCTCTGGTAAATCCACTCCACAGAGTAAGTTTTGGGCATGTCCACAAGACATTCCATCATTGCATTTGTGTGCCGTTTGCGAACAATTGGAGACTCAGGACTCTTAATAAAAACTACGTCCGTGGGTTGTTGCAAAGATGAGTTCAGTGATAAAGTCACAGGCTGGCTTTGCCTCTGACCGGCAATGTTTTGTACAACGCAACGGTACTCTCCCGTCTCCTGTTCGGTGACATCTATGATTTGCAAAGCACCCCCAGGAAGAACAGTGAATCTATGATAATAAAAAATCAATTTCAAGGTCATTTACATTTTCTATGACAACCGCCCTTTTACTAACATGAAAAATATAGCATACTTCGCAGTAAAAAATTTTTATCAATCATTGCTTTGAAATTCTCATTTATGATCTCAGACATAAGTGCACATCAAAAATCCACAATTACTATATATTATTTTTATTACTATCTATTGTTTACTATTATTATACTGTACTTAGATTTGTTTTTATTATACAAACCATATATTCTCGGGTATAAGGCAATCAACATACAAGACGACCCGTGAATTTGAGAACATTTTTTGAACTATTTTTGTATGTTGGGCGTATAAAACGACGGCCATTTTTTCGATTCACATATATCTTTGCTACTTTTTACAGGACTGATACTGCATCTAGCTGGCTAAAAACGGAGCCAAAAGTAGGACTTATCTTCCAAATAATACCACTTTATTGGCTTTTAAATGTTCACCTAAATCTTATTTCCCGATACTTGCTGTAAAGTTCCGTTCACTTTCACTTCAGTTGACAGTGTTCATTACTATTCAACCAGATCCAGCTCTGCGGGAAAATTTAATTTTGCCTAACGTCAGAACTGAATCTGGTAGAAGGTTTACTTTTAGGAGTTCTCAAATTTGGAAAAGGGGGGGAGAGGGTGGTGGTGGAGGTTGGGGTAGGTAACTCTTTACTTTCATTCTTATATGTTAATGTTTTTTTATATTCTGTCATTTTATTGTGATTTTACTGTTTTATGAAGAGGTAACCCAGTATAAAGGACAAATAAGTAAATAATAAATAAATTCAGTTAGTAGCTCCATTTCAGTAGTCAATTCACGTGTTATGGACAATCCACATAAGAACATGATTTATAAAAAATGTGCATGTTTCAATTTAAGCCTCGTCTTATATTCGAGAATACGGTACTAAATTATATCCAATTACAATAATCATATAACTACACAATTAGCTACTTATAAACAAAAGGTGAGACAATATAAAATGTTTATTTGCTGACATTTGAGAACAATTTCAAGACTAGATTTAATATCCCAGAAAGTTTCAGGTATTATTTCACTTCCTGTCCATTGTGATGGAATCAGCATGGTGTTAAAGGATTAACCTAAAAAACAATTTTATATAACCTAGTACTAAGCTGGTTGACCACTCTGGTGAGTGCACTGTGGCTGCAAGTAGCTTCCTTGGACAGAATGTCCTAAAGTCAACTCTTACAAAATGACCTTGTCCTAGGCTAGTACTGCATTACAAGTTTAAGTTGCATTATTAATCAGATCTATAGTAAAATTTCTATGCCAAAGGTAAAAGAATGATTTCATTTCAGTTTGTTATAGTTCCAACAATATACTGTAGATCATGGATAAAATCATTGTTTTTTCTGAAAAATTATTTTATAATGATGGTAGTAGTAAAAACATTAATAATGCCTTAGAGTATATTCTCCATGATGAAAGTTAAAAAGTTACAATAATACAATTAGTCATCATTGTCAAAAGCATGGTAAACAGATGAATAGGAAAATCATACTAACAACCAGATTTCAATTTATCTATTCTGTAACTGTATTATAGTATTATTAGGCGCGTTCTACAAATTATCCCCAATGACAGAAACGGGTCAAACACGTCTGCCATTGTTATATGACAAGCTCTCCAAACGTGTATGTGAAATGCAGTTTGGAAGCTTGTCGTTCGATCCGTTTATTCTGTTTGGAAGTTGACTCCTCCCCATTTCATATGGCTGACTGCTCGTGAATGGCGTAGATGTTAAACGTGTTCAGCGGAATATGGATCCGATTGTGATTAATACAACTTAAAACATGTTGAACCTACCTCTAGGCTATAGGCTTAAGCCTATATATTAGAAGCCTATTACAGTAAAGTGCTACAGTAGGCCTAGGCCTACGCTAGATGACAAATCACGAAAAAATGTTTCAAATTAATTAAAGCTCTTTATTCATTTTAATTGTTTGGGAAACCCCAATGTCTCATATTTGTTTAGTGTGCCCTACCGTACCTGTTGGTTTTATAGAAGAAAAAGCAATCGCTAGTCACCTTCCAACTCAGATTTCAATGTGCGATGTTCGAATTCACGCTATCAAAACATACCTTTTTGCCCAAGTACCCCATTCAATGTGTCTGCACAGCCCGCACAAAAATAGAGCAGCATGTATTAAATACTGACCTGGATCAACCGCATTTGATCTGAAGAAGTTTGTTGATGTTTAATCATGTGGTCATATCGTCTCGCTTTAGCATATGTTTACAGAGTACATCTGTAGGCTATGTCATTATTTGTATGGATGGTTCAACCTCATTAAAATGATTAAACCATCCTAGTGTTTCACTATTTACTATTTCAATGTTTTATTTCAAATGGTTATTTTACATGTACGTTATTTTGTGAATGCATCACTCCATTTCATTTCTTGCCAACGATGTCGCGTTTGAGCCTAGACTCAGAAATACTGAGATGGTGTCTGGCGGAGGATAGTTTTTGTGTACCATGTATTCCAAGCAGCCTGTAGGTCTATATGTATACAGTATATATTTTTCCAATGTCGTATAGATAAATACAGTATAATGTCAGAATGAAAGAATTGATTACTGTTTTCTGTACACCACATGTTGTTTGTGTCTCTGAAGGATTAGCATAAAATTTTATTATTAAAATACAGCAGTTCAGTTTTATTTATATTTCGACATTAACATAATAAAAATCAGTATTATTATTATTATTTAACACATAAACAGCCTCTCCACACAATATAACAATAGGCCTAAAGAATAAAAGTATATAAAATACAAAACAAGATTTAAACATACAGTATAGGCACAAATTACCGCTTCGTATCTGCGCATAACCTCTCGTAATCTGCTTGTAGGTACGTTTTGAACGTAGCTACGAACCACTATGAAGGTCATTGTTATTTTAATTAGCTTTGCAATGATCGTAGGCTGGATCGTCGGGCTGATAAACAATGCGTAAACAATATTGAAATATAGTTTACCAGCTTTCAACACGTAAGCAATGTTGCAATTTACTAAATAAACAATGTTAGAACTTTATTGTTTTGTTATATCCTACCTTATTATTAAATCGATCATGTTTTAAAACTGTGTTTAGTCATAGAGAAAATAGAACAGAAGGAGTAACATCGAGCGAAGATCAAAGGTACAGACCTCCTCGCCGCGATCGTAATTATCTCACCGTTACGTAACCTACTTGACAACAAGATAAGCAGAAATCGGCAAACGCGCATGCGTCGATAACTCTTAAACTGGCATCCAGTCATCCTACTGATAGCATCTGAACTGACCTACTTTTGTCCGGAGTGGCGCACAAAGCGAATTTTTTCACGTGTTATCTTGCATACTCTGCACTGATCACATCCACACACGAGGTACCCAATGTAACTGGACAGTAGTTACCTAGGTTTAGATGCTGAATATATATTATGCCAAGATTTAATTAATCATAGAGAAAATAGATGTTATAATTTCTCTATGGTTTAATAAATGTTTGGCAAATGCTGGCGTCTAATTGTGTTCCCATGTGATGTATGTGTGCAAGGAGTTGATGAGTGTAGAGATAATTCGTCATCAGCTCCTCAGGTAGGCTACTTGTGAAGATACTGTAGGTCTGTCCGACGGACGGACCAAACGGCAACAATGTGCTGTCCTCGTCATTTACCTCTTAACTTAGGGCCTGCAAACACTGGGCCTATTATTTAGGACTATACAGTGTTTAATCTTTATACAGTATACTTGTTTCATTTCAAAGTAAAACTTGTTCAGTATTTTAAATTGTACGTACGAAAACATTACAGTAGTTCAACCTGGGCCTGGTCCAACGACACAGACGTGTTTGTCATCGAAAACAATAGGAACAATGGCAAACACATTAAACGGCACAAAACTGTTCGGACACGTCTCCGAAATATTGGCTTAGCTTATTAATATTCATGAGGCACGATAATTAGATGATCGCTTTCCCAGACGCATTTGTAATACACAATTTTTCTAAACCCGTTTCTGTCGTTGGGGATAATTTGTAGATCGCACCTTATGCCTATGTCTTTTAAACTACACAACGGATTTGTTAAGACTAAAGCCTATATTGTATGTACAGTTGTAAATAAGTCATTGGGTAGATATACCTACTAAATTTTATCCGTTTGAGAAAAAAAGCGAAAAAATTGCTGTTGGTTTATCTATCAACAAATTAAGAATTAATAGAACATCAAATTTATTTCACTGGTCTTACTGAATTGTCTAACATATTATTGGTACTATTACTGGGGGTAGAAGAGATAGTTACAGATGTAAACTAGGACAGAGTTAATCTCATTAAGACCTTTGGACTTGGTAATGACAGCAAATATACCAATTAACAATCTTTTCCTTTTTGTTTACGGAAGTTCATGCACATAGCAAGCTTTAAAGCACATAGGAATGAAGAATTGTTTGCTACTGAAAAGGTGATAACACCACTACTAGCATCGGTGGAATTCCATGTGTAGTGGTCTAATGCAATTCAATACTGTATGAATGCTAATAATATGCTCACTTTTTTTAAAACCCTTTTCCCGGGAGAACATTTCTTTTTATCCTGGGGTTCATCTCAAATAAAACTAACAATACTTACTTAGAATCAACTCCATCTCCACTACCTTCATCATCTCCAATAGTTGTTTTTCCATGATGCCAGAATACTGTGGCTGGAGGTGCAGCATTGATGCCACAGTAGAACCTTGCAACACCACCCGGTCTGGTGAGAACATGCTCAGGTTGGGCTGTGATAATTGGTTTAGCTGGAGAAAGAAAGAACACCAAACTTAGATCAAAGATCTCCTAACAAAATGTTCTCAAATTTTCTCAGGAACATTTGTTATGCACTTTGTCAATTGTAATCTGGGGGCCCCTAGACAGGGGCCATAGCAGCAACTTGGCCTGGACTATGCCTGGGATGTACAGATATTCGTGTTCCCATAGACCCGGGAAGTATCTGTACTGTAATACCTGGGGATGTAATTTGGTCTGCAACAATATTATTTTTTATTTGCATATTTTTCATGGCAGCGGGTGCACTACCTGGTCAAAAATAAAATTTCATTTTTATTCTAATTTAAACCATTAACGGTGGTCGAGTACATTGACAGTACCAGGTCACCCATCCTCTAAAGTTGGTCCAAGTTATAGAGTGCCAAGTCTCTCCGATCTGTACATCCATTGAAATAGACTACTAAGCCTGGGATAGAAAAAGAAAAGCTAGCATCCAAAAACGCACGAGGCCATGGGACAGGACTTGGTCAGCAATTTATATGAGCTTCAACAGAGGATATTATCACTAGGGTACCACAATTAGTTATAATTAATATTAAGGTAAACTAGTGATAATTTGAATGGTACCACAATTAGTTACAGTACAGGTATTACAACCACTGTATATTACGGTAATTCATTCCTAAGCTTGCAAACACCTTAAGGCCTGTTTATACTTGCAACGATAACGATAACGATAAAAAGCTAAAAAGCAATTGTTCATATAGAAAATAAAAGAAATAAGAGAAGATTTTACAATGGGACGATTCGATAAATTATCGTGTATACGATAACAAAATTATCGTTATTGCTGCAAGAATAAACAGACCTTTAGGGTTCAGGTAATTTCCATCAGGGTGGCACCAATGCTTGTAATGCAGAGATCCCTTGTGGTGATATATCAGAGGGTCCCTCAAAAATTATACTTCCCAGCCCATCCTGATGGATTCACCCCTAGGAATACATTGAAGGCTACACCATGAAGGTATATTCCCTATGGTTTCTAAGACAAACAGCATTTTGAAATAGTATTCAAACTATGGTACATTACTTCAGTAAAGTAATAATTTATTACCAAAAACCTAAAAAACTTTTCATAAAGATTCTATGACATTCCCTTTCCAATCAAGAATATTTATCTTCCTCAAACAACTGAAAGATGGATAAAACAGTACTGTATTTTAATGGTTTAGTAAATCCTTTTGAAGGCCATCAATCAGGTCATCTGGCCATATTGGTCATGACCCTTTAGAATATTTATCTGACCAGAGGCCACCATAGGGATAATTTTACTGATACAATCTTTGGAGATTACTATACAGTACTGTATTGTTAAATCTAAAATATAGAAAAATAACTATGTTTACTTAATATTGCACTCTAGTATTAAGCATCAAGTACAAGTGTACTTGGCCTCATTATTATAAAATTAGGTCACAAACTACTTTTCCATACAAAATTATAGTTTAAAAAATATACAGTACAAAATTATGATCATTTTCCATCTATAATATAGATGATGAAATTTTAATAATATAGAATGAATAAATGTTCACATGACTAACGTTTTTCAAATATTTTCTTAATACTATAGCTTCGGTGTTTTGTAGGATGTCAGATGTTGAAATTTAAATTGTAACGGAAATTCCATACTGACCAGTTATCATGTATGCCTGTCCTTTATGTAATAAAAACTGACCTGAGGGGGTAATAGTAAATAGTAGAACAGCTTGCACTATCGGCCACCTTGGGCAATGGGGTCAATAACAGCCACACCAATGGAGTAAAGCCAAAATGCCAAGGCCCTTATTTGCATATTGTAATAAAGGCAGCTAAGTGGTAGATTGGCAAGTTGCCATGGTCCTGTATTTAGTGGTTTGCAAAAGGTTCACACTAGGTAAAAAAGCAGCTTACATTCTGAAGGCTTGGACATTCAAAAGGTGACACAACAAAGCTATGGAAGAATTAACATGAACAACACCTAGTCATCACTGATTAAAATCAATTAATAAACTCTCAATATGAAGTTAATAATGCACAATACATTTGTATGTGCTAGAATTCACACAACATAAACATCAACAATACTATAGAGCCTATATTCTGCATCTCTGGAAGGGAAATTAATCAATTTTTTTTTCATTTTTTTCCATGGTGATGTGTTAGAAGTACCAAACACTGTAAAATTTTGCCCAGGCTCAATTTTCTTATTTTTTGGACGATTTAAGGCTCAAAATGTTCTTATTTTGTTCTGATTATTTTACATACTTTTCAAACATAGAAAACTATTATTGTACAGGCCTCTGCAAAAAATGGCCCCTAAATAAGGCCCTAAAAAAGGCCCCAGAAAAATGGCAGATAAATACACCTACTATACTGTATTATAGGGCCTAGAGAGTATTACATCACCTCCTGCACATAAGGTACAGATATCATTTTTTGGTTTTTCTAGTTCTTTTTAATAAAAATATCAATTGACATTTTACAGTACCTCAGCCTCAATTTGTTCTTATTTTGTTCTAAATTTTTAAAGTAATTTCAGCCACAGTGTTCTTATAAAATGTCTTCTTATAAAAAAAAAAAGTGTAATCAATTTAAAACTGACCTATATGACTGATTATTCTGACGGCCAATGGAATTTTAATCCAGTGCAGAGGATTTGTCTCATTCCTTGAGAACAGTGGAGGGAATTTTTTTCCAGGTAAGAGCAAAGTATCAAATATTTTTATTGGTTATAGAGAAGAATGACAGCTGAAAAATTGGCTCTGATCCAACAGCAAACTGACCCAAGCTAACTAACGTCACAACGTTTTATAATATTTAAAACAGGGATCATTGGAATGCATTCCTAGAATATTATAATATTAATGATAATTAATGCAATAAACTTCAATTGGAACTCAAGTTAAACATAGGCATAATACAGCATAATGAAACAATAATGATAGGTAAATTTGCTACAATTCACTGAAAATTTCTACAATAATTAGATTTGATCATTCTAGTATCAGTAGTTATTTCGTAAGTGGTTTAACAATAATAATAATAATAACAATAATAATAATAATAATAATAAGTAATAATAATAATTAATAATAACAACCACAATAATAATAATAATAATAATCATTTATTTGGCACCCTTTCAAAAGAGACCAGAGCGCCATATACATTACATTAAGACAAAGTTATCAATACACATCAACCAATAGTGTTACTACTCACAAAATATTTCAGGTATAATATTGAAAATATGAAGTTTATGGTACTTCAGGCTAAAATGAAGCACTAACACAATGTAAAATATAGCCAACTAAAGATAATGGTACATGGTCTTCCACTTTTATATAGTGCATACTATTACTCTATGCGCTCCAAAAAAACAAAGCAAGCAAAAGAATCCCACATTGTGTGTTTTCATTATAACAATTCATTAAAACATTTCCAAATTACAATGTTTAGTTGATTAAATTAAATATAATTTAACTTGGTGTAAAATTTTTTTAATTATCATATTGACCAGATTACAAGCACATATTGAGCTAGAAATGTTCATAAATTGAGGCCTTAAATTTATACCATATTAGAATCTAGGATAAAGGGCAGGGTTTAAATAGTCACTGTCAACTATCCATATTTCTTGACACACATTATATGATCCATCATGAGTGTTTGCACAGTGCTCCATCAAGTTGAATATTGTTGTTTTCCTAGTAAGCTACTATGCCTTGTCAACTGAATGAAACACTGGAAATAATTTACTATTAAAACGCCACAATATTCAATCTTTGAACAAAGAAATTAACCATCAAATTTGAGACTGAACCCCCCCCCCAAAAAAAACCACCCACATTTTCAGGCCCTAAAGGTGGTCTCGAATTGGTATTGAGAGTGTTGAAAGAGAAGACTATCGTTCCCAATTATCCCTAATCATTCCCTTTTTTTGTGTTGTTTTGATTTTGTTGATTTTGTAATGATTTTGATTGTTATGGTTTTATTATGGATGCACCATTGATGTGATGTGTGCCGCTGTTAAAATAGCAACCAAATATTATTATTATTATTATTATTATTATTATTATACAGCCTGGTAGTTCAATTATCAATTACAATTTGGATTACTAACTACAAAGCCACTGTTCAGATCTGGTTAAAGGCAGGATTAACTGTTCTTTCAGGACACCTTGGTTGGACAGTTGTATACAGTAAATCTAACTTTAAAGGTAATTATGATCTGTCTGCAAGAACACAATAAATACTAAACCAGCAGCTACTACTACAGCAGCATGGCAAGAATTAAGGGAGCTTGTTCACAGTGCTAACAAATTGATTTAACAATAATTATGATGATTTCATACCTGCCCAAGCTTCCATTCACTAAAATTCCAATAAAACAATAAAACCAGGAAAAATTTAGTGTTTAATACTTTAACTCATATTGAAAAGATTGATCCATCCATGGAAACTAATTACTTTAGTTCACCGATGATGCTCTAATAAAAGGTGGATATTGGGCCACCAATTCGACACAGACCCTTCAACTTGACCGGCACTCTTGAGATCATCAGCAGAATAGACAATATTATTTCCCAATTCACCAAAAGTTTTGCTGTGATTACAGACTTTCCTAATATTGTTGTTGTCTAAATGCTCATTTTTTGCAATACTACGGGTCAGTCCCTTGACCAGAGACCCCCCTCCCTGGGCAGCAAAGTGACTTGCACCTCCTGTTTAACATCTTCTTGTTAAATTATTTTAGTGAACCCAGGCTTCAACCAATCCAGTGAATGATTAGCGAATAGAGTTGCTTTATTTTAGATTGCATGACATTCAATTTCAAAGATAAAGGTAAACTGATAATGATAATTTTGTGTAGTTAGAATATGCAGACATTTGGGCTTTTATCAGAGATAGGTATCAACTGCAGTACAGTATGTTAATTTTAACCTTTAGTATTGTGAATAATATTGTTTTAATATGAAAGCGAGTT